AAGATTTTAGCAGTTTAAAGAAGTGAAATAAATTATCTATTTCCTGTGTGTATTTGACTCACAAAAATGGGATATCATAATCCTTTTAAATTATTAAGATTTTTTTCCTCCAAAAATATTCTTTACTTGGATTCCCAAATGCTTGTCATTGAATTCAGAAACAAAGATAAGAATATATCCAAGTGTTGATGAAATATCATCCTATCTTAATTAAGTCATCTTCAAAGTCATTTAAAGGCATGATTTGAAGGCATTACTAGAAACTTCCTCATTCCCAGGTGAAAGAGGCAGGAAGCTAAAGGTCAGGAAACCTAGTTCTAGGCCCAACTCAGCTTTATACTAAAGGTTATCCTCCTAAGTCATTCGTTTAAATTCTTTGTTCCAACAGTTTTCTTATGCATACCTTAGTTGCCTCATATATAGCAACTCTTGTTGCCCTCTAGATTGTTATAAGGTTCAAACCGATCAATAGAAAAAATAATTATAAGAGGAATCTGAAAAGCTGTAAGTTCTATAAAAATGAAAATTATCCTTGTTTTTATGTTATTAGCTGCTGATTCTACCAATTGCATTAATACTATTTAACCTCCTAGTGTAAGGTCAATTTTTTGCAAGTTTTCACAGGATGTATGCCACCAATAGAGCCAAGATATTTTTAGTACAAATTTTTATGCTCTTGGGTAATGTTATGGCGACTATTTTTTTAAAATCCTGAATTGGTATACTTTTTTCCCTTTTTGTCAATGCTTGAGGAATAGAACAAGAATTCTAACTAGAGTGAATTAATACAGAGAACTTGTGGAGGAAAATGTTATTTAACAAAAAAAAAAAAAAAAAGAATAATTGTTTCAGACATGCTGTTCTTTATGGCTTTATTAAAAGCTGCTCTAAGCTGACGCATTTGCATTTGGACTAGTCATAGTCTCCTTATTAAGTGAAGCTACTGGATTGGTTTTTTGTTTTGTTCTGTTTTCCTTGTCTGAACAGTTTTCCAGTGATAAATGTTCAAGTGCCTCGGTTTTGCAGAACAGCATCAATTAAGTTATGGACATCTACCCAATGCTGCCAAGATTTTAGCAGTTTAAAGAAGTGAAATAAATTAGTCTAGCTATCTTCAACACTCTGTTTTTTTATAAATCATTTAGAGTATGTCCTTTGGAGAATATTCATACTGTGGCTCTTAGCAATTATAATTGCCTGCCTACAATTGTCTGTTTACTCTGTCTGCCCAACTAGATTATAACCTCCTCAAGAGCAGGTTGCTGTTCAAGGCCAACATTATTCTTTGTGATATTCCTAGGACTCTACTGTGGTACCTAGTACTTAGGGGATTCTTAGTAAATATTTGTTGGTTTGAATTCATGAACAAGATTATGCTACACAAATACATTGTTGCTATATATTGAAAACAATAATAATAGTTTGAGGTATGGAAAAGTCAAATAGATATGAAAAGGTAAAGACTTCTTATTGTTAGTTGTGTATATCTAGCACAAGGCCCAACACACAGCAGGCCCTCATAAATATGAAATTTATCTATTAAATTCTGTCCAAGTGACTGTGCTCACCATTTTTGCTCTTCACCTTAATGTATGAACTTGAGTCCTAGGAAACGTCACCAAAGTAGTGAAGGTCAAATAAGTAAGAATGAGAAATTATCATCTGAAAGCTATCATGTTTCTTTATCTGTATTCTACCTTTTTTGCTTCAGGAGATTTTAGTGTGTGGCCATTCCTTAGAAGTGAATATAACCACAAACCTGGACTTCTTCCTAAGTGTGGCTCAAGTTCAACTCTTACATCAGTTAATAGTAGCAAATATGACTGGACTGGAACCATCAAACAAGGCTGCAGAGGTAACTGTTACCTGATTTTGATCAGGCTTACTGCACTTGTTCCAACTTTACATTCACTGCAGGAAAACTGTAATTAAGCTGACTGCTTTCTGCTTAATTATTCTGTATTTAACTTTATTCAAAATATAGTCATAAATCATTTTGTATTGTTATTCTTGATTTTAGAAATTTGTTTGGTCTCTATTCCTCTTATTTATCATGTACCTTTGCAAAATTGCTGTGGACTGACCTCAGAGGAACCTCTGTTATATACATAATTTTATTGCCCTGCTGAAATTATAAAGTATGATGTGAGAATCCTGGTATAGCTTTCATTTACTCGGATACATTACAGTAATAAGGCCTCTTTTGGAAGTGAACTTTCTAAGAGTACTATGGGAATATCTTCAATAAATAACTTGTAAAGCATTCGTTTCCCATGCTCAGTGGGAAATTAATGGACACAATCATAAAAGTTGAATGCCTGCCTAGAATTTTAATTTTGATCCGGTGTTCGTTGGAAGCCTGTATTGTAACCACAAAGTGCGTCAGCAAGAAACAAAGAAAGCTATTTGTTAGATTCTTCTCAAGATATATTTTCTTCGCATTTTGTTTCCACATTTCTCTAACATTCTGCACTTAGAATAAATATTTTGTAAATACTCAGGTGAACAAACTGTTTATATATAAAAAAAATGTTGCTTTTATTTTTGTCATGAGTTGTAAAGAAGGCTTTAAGTTCTGTTTAGTAAGAAGGTAGGAAATGAAGAGGAATTTAGGTTTTTCAAGTCAGCGCTGTTTCCGTTCTGCCACAGATTGCGTATTATAACTGTGACATTATTCTTTCAGTCTTCTTTATTTAAAAAAAAATTATTTTAAAATGATAAATCTTTTATCTTTTGTAAATGGAGATTTTCTAATGTAATCATCCTTTACTAGCCATGATATCTATTTATTCACTATCTATTGTAAAAGGACCTTAGAACTACATATTCTCCACAATATTAACTTTTTAAATATACATGAGGGAATCCATAAAAATGTAATTATATGACATCAAAAAAAGCAAATCAAAAAATACTTCCCCATGCATTTTCGATGAGGCCTCTGAAGCACGTTGAGTTGGATAAAAGTAAATTACATTCCTATATTATTTGTGCTAATTTTGTGAATGTCTCCTATCAAAGAAATCTAACTCTCAGATCACTGATTGTTTTAGGTATTCGTATAACTTAGCAAATTGGTTATTAACTATTTACATACTTTTAATGCCTTGTAAGGGGATCAATTTCAGTAAATAAAGGGATACTGGGAGTTACTGACTATCCCTCCCTGAATGTTGAATCATTACTGGCAGTTCCATAAACTGGATAGGCATTGTTTTCTTCTGCTTTAAAAAGGTATCTATGGCTGTGTGTTTCTCCTTAGAGATCATGTTACAAGTACAGATGACATGAATGTTTTTAAATGGTTAAAATGGTAAATTTTATGTTATGTATATATATCACAATTAAAAATACAGGCTATATAATAAGAAAGGACTGTTTGGACCTTTTCCCAACCCTGGTGGGACATATCTGTAAAAAGTTCAGTATTTTAGAAAAGACCTACAGTGCACTGGAAGAATATGATTCAATTTTTGAATTATTCGCAAAACTCATATTTGATAGTCTATGAATATAAAGATATTTTAGTTACATAGAATACTCTGTAATAAGTCAAGGGTATATTTTGAAAGGGCTGGTTGACTGCCTTTAGTGTGATTTCACAACCACACTACCACAAATTTTTTTTTTTTTTTTTGAGACAGAGTCCTGCATTGTTGTCTGGGCTGGAGTGCAGTGGTACAATCTCAGCTCACTGTAACCTCCACCTCCCAGGTTCAAAGGATACTCCTGCCTCAGCCTCCCAAGTAGCTGGGATTATACGTGCCTGCTACCACGCCCAGCTAATTTTTTTGTATTTTTAGTAGAGACAGGGTTTTACCATGTTGGCCAGCCTGGTCTCCAACTTGTGACCTCATAATCCACCCTCGGCCTCCCAAAGTACTGGGATTACAGGCATAAGCCACCGTGCCTGGCCTTTCTTTTTTTTTTTTTTTTTTGACACGGAGTCTCACTCTGTTGCCCAGGCTGGAGTGCCATCTTGGCTCACTGCAACCTCCACCTCCAGGGTTCAAGCGATTCTCCTGCCTCAGAGTTCCAAGTAGCTGGGATTACAGGCGCGTGTCACCATACCCAACTAATTTTTGTATTTTTAGTAGAGACGTAATTTCACAATGTTGGCCAGGTTTGTCTTGAACTCCCGACCTCAGGTGATCTGGCCCCCTCGGCCTCCCAAAGTGCTGAGATTACAGGCGTGAGCTACTGTGCGCAGCCAACAATTTTTTAAAAAATTCTTTTTGAAAAAAAAAATAGGAAAATTAAACCTGGCTAACTTATTGGGAAAATGGAGGAAGATACATATGTTAGTACGTATAATATAATCCTGACATTATAAACAAATACTATTGCATAGGAACTATGGATTAATAATGAGAATCCCATTTATCAGGTTTTCTAGAAGGCACCCTGTGAATTGTAGACCAGTAAATGTCAAATATGTTCCAAATCCACCATCTGATACTATATTGATACAATATACTTCTATAAGAAGAAATTATGTATATTTGATGTTATACATTTTTTTTTCCTTTCTTTTCTTTTCTTTTTTTTTTTTTTTGTTTAGTAAAGATGGGGTTTCACCATATTGCCCAGGCTGGTCTTGAACTCCTGGCCTCAAGGGATCCATCTGCCTTGGCTTCCCAAACTGCTGGGATTACAGGCGTGAGCCACCACACCTGGCCTAATATAGTATGTTTTTTGAAGGTGTGTTAACGTTTTCAGACAACCTTTTGCAATATTTATTTGAAAGATTAATTTTGGCTGGGAGCATAGTGGCTCACACCTGTAAGCCCAACACTGGGAGGCTGAGGTGGGTGGATTGCTTGAGCCCAGGAGTTCACGATCAGCCTGGGCAGCATCGTGAGACCCCCATCTCTACAAAAAAAAAAAATTAAAAATTAGTTGCTTGTGGTAGTGTGTGCCTGTAGTCCCAGCTACTCGGGAGGCTGAGGTAGGAGGATCACTTGAGCCCCAAAGGTCGAGGGTGAAGTGAGCTGTGGTGGTGCCACACCACTCCAGCATGGGTGACAGAGCAAGAGACCCTGTCTCAAAAAAAAAATAAAAGGAAGATTAAACATTATTCAAGAATAATCAAGAATAATATCACTTGGGAGGCCAAGATGCGGGCAGATCATTTGAGCATAGGAGTTCAAGACCAGCCTGGACAACATGGCAAAACTGCATCTCTACAACAACAGCAAGAAAAAAAAAAACCACCCACACACACACACACACACACAAATTAGGCAGACATGGTGGCACATGCCTTTAGTCTCTGCTACTTGGGGGCTGAGGCAGGAGGACCACTTGAACCTGGGAGGTGGAGGCTGCAGTGAGCCGAGATGACACCGTTGCACTCCAACCAGGTAACAAAATGAGACCCTGTCTCAAAAAAAAAAGTATAATATGATAGTGGGATTATGTATTAGTGGAGGAAACACCCATTCAATAAACAAACGGGAAAAAATGAACATATCTTTGGAACTAGAAGTGAAAACCATAGGGTAATCTGAGGATTCTTGCCAGAACCAATATTTAATATTAATTTTAATTAAAATGACAGCTAACACATAATGAAATGTACCAGTTCACAGCCAAAATGACTGGATGATGGATTAGGAAAATTCTGTCCCACATTAAACAAAAGTTTTCCAATATTGTTGCTCTGAAAAATGTGTTTTAGATGGGGTGAGACCACTAGACCAATGGACCTGTATTTGTAGTATTAGATTTTCACTGTCCCTTTCAAATACTATAATTTCCATGATTTCTAGCTCCCAGAATATTTAGTTTCTGCCTTTAAATGAACCTTGTTTCTCTGTACATACAGGTTGAGTCCCTTATCTGAAAACACAAAATTCGAAATGCTTCACTGAGCATTTTCTTTGAGGGTCATGTCATGTTAATACTCAAAAAATTTCAGATTTTGGAGCATTTTGGATTTTGAATTTTCGAATTAAGGATACTCAACCTGTGTTATGACAGGCTGAGAAATTACATAAAAGAAACAGGAATTTAACATTCAAAAACAAAATGCATTCCATATTACAAAGTACATGTCCTTCCTTATCTGGCTCGCTGCAATAGTTCACCATCCCATTCTATATTTCATGTCTCCATGACATCTGTATCTAGAGAACTAGTACAACAGGCACGTTATTTGGGATTCTTACATGTTAGTTCTCTGCCTTTTACATGAGGTGAGAGTCCACCTTTTGGATACCTTAACAGCCAAAGCCAAATTTACAATTGTAAGTTCACTCCCAAAACAAAGCTCCACTAGTCAGCCTTGATTTCTAAACCAGTGTTTAACAGGACTGTGGTTGACACAATTGGTTTACCCTTCAGAAGGTTCTTCACCTTCTTACAGGATAGTCTTAGTCTCAAAAAGGCCATTAGTTTATTTATTATAATATGGCTTTATTTTTATCAAATTAGTAAATGAATTTTAACAACCAAAATTTGCTAATGAAATACATCAAAGTAGCACAATCCCTGATACCCCCACCTCATCCTGCCTGATAGTCAGCCACTCTTTATAAGCTGTTTCTTCAAGTATTTATCTCCATATTTCTAAATAACCTGAATGGACTATCATCTCTTGATTCACTGTTACCGTATTCACTTGCTATTTGTTGTAAATAAGGATTCTATCTCTTTTGCACTTCCTTTCTACACTTCCATCTTCCCAGTATTCTTATATCATATTCTTTTTTGTCAATCTTAATTGTTTTCATTATAAAGATGATATAAATATTGTTCATTGCTTAGTGAGTTAATGTAGTGTGATAATATTTCCTGTCATTATACTTTTTTGTTTTTATTAAAGTTACTCATTGCTACAATTTCTATTTACTC